AAGAGCAATGCACTTGGATTTCACAAATAAGGTATCAGTTTACCACTTACCAACCATTAGCTCAAAGAAGTCACTTAATCTTTGTAAAATAAGGTTACCATTTTTAATCATATGACTTCCATATAAGGTGAAAGCTTTATGTCAACTAAAAACAAAAAAAAGAAACAAAAAGCCCTATATGAATATAAGACAGTTTTAATAACTTGTCAATTATTTTATTGATAAAGATCTTATTTTGTATGTGGTAATATACAGAACTATTTGTCCAGTGCTAAATACACTCTGATTATAAAGATCCAAAAATATAGGTACTTTAAAGCTATCTTCCTCATTTTCCTACCTTCCTCCACAAAGCTCTTTTTGCACTCCCTCCCCCCAAAAAGCCTCTTGGTATAATTCTAAAATTACTTTTCTAAAAGAAGTTAATTTCCTCCAACTTTTTATTTTGGGAAAATTCATATCTATATAAGAATTGAGAGAGTAATACAATATCATTTGCCTTTCATCTAGCTCTCCCAATTGTTAGCATTTCTTAAGGAAAGGTCCTAAGTGCGTTTTATCACAGCTAAGTCAGGCCAAGGTGACTAGTTTTAAAAGCTTTCTAATGAAATATATATTTAAGCTGCACTTAAAAAAGTTTTTCTGCAGCTGCTAGAAGAAATATGTGTATTCAAGATTTACTGAAAAATACTTTTTAATATTATGTAAGTTTTTCAAGTAACATATTTCAGATTTCTAGAGGATACTGTTTTATATACTGTAATGTATTTTCCATCAAGTGGCCAATCAAAATAAACCTAATTTTGCTGTGGTATTTTTCAAATGGGCAACATAAAGAGAATCAATACAATATTTGCATTAAGCTATCATTTTATCTTCTTTATTTGGTTACCTTTAGCTTCTTCACATACTGGCTCTCGCTCGAGATTAAACTGCTAAGATTAAATTGAGATATACAAGTTTACCAGCTCTCTGAATTTGCTCGGGATTTTCCTGGTTTCAGCACTGAAAGTCTTATGTCCCAGCAAACCCCTTAGTCACGTGAAAACCAGAACAAATGATCACTCTGTGTATAAATATGGCCTTTAGGGGGCCAGGAAGAGTTCTGCTAGCCAGGCTCCAGTTATGCCCTGTTAGAAAGTCCAGCTTACCTAATAAACTACTAGGTATAACACGGGTTCAAATGTGTAAGTGGCTTCTCTGTAGGAGGAATATGAACTGTGAATCAGTACAGTACAATGAGGAGTTTCAAACGCAGTTGTTCTTTTTTTCATATAGTTTAACAGATCTAAACTGTCTAAACTGACAGCTTTGTTCCATCATTTACTAGCTATATGACTCGTTTAACTTATAAGTTACCAAAAAAAAAAAAGGTTAACAACAGCTACCTCACAGAGTTGCTGTAAAGACTGAGAAACATCAGCTAAGGACTTGCACAAAGCCTGGTTGGTATACAGCATTAAATCAAAATTATCATTCTGTGAAGAATACACCCTTAAAAGAACATTTCCTGTTATAACAAGTCACTAAATCTGCTTCGTTTGAGTTTAGTTCACCAAACATTTACTGAAAGCCAGGCAGTGCTCTAGGTGCTAAGAATACAAACATAATAGAGGATGGTCATTGCTTTCACAAATTCAAGCTTATACTGAATTAATTCCATTACTGAGGTTAGAGAGGTAGGATTTTTCTTACCAGTGGCTTAGTCTTTCCTGACTTTTGTTTTACTGCGACATCATCATAAAAACATATATTGAGTCTGTAATATAAATCTGCTTAAAATTATTTCAGCAGAAAAGCATAGGTCACTATAGATCGCTACTGAAAAATGTGTGCCATTACATAAAATGAAAATGTTATCGCAACAGTGCAGTTTGCTAAAAGAGCTGGAAATATTTACATCTGGAAGTAAGTTAAACATTTGTGATCTTTAAAAAATTAAGGAAGATTGTGTGTTGCTTTTATGTTATATAAAAGTAGTTAGAAAGTTACATCGAAGAATTAAAAGTATCACAGCATCTAATTTGTACTGAATGCCTGAAGAACTACAGGATTAATAAAAATTCTTTTTAGCAAGACACAACTCTTAGGACTAAATGGGTCCTAGATTACAGTAGACAGCTAGTAACTAAAATGTCTAATATTTGTTTAGGGTTTTATGGTCAGTAAAACACTTTCACACATGGGTCATTTGATTCTCAGAACTACTGTTATAGAGTACAAACAGGGTAAAGAAAATCAATTAGTATTTATATAAAATAAATGCTACTTTTATTGTTCATCTTTAAAGACTACAGGAATAGAATACCTTTAACATAATATTTAAATAGGAAAACCAAAACTTCAATAAATAAGAACTAAGAGTTCTATATTATAAGCAATTAATTGAGGTAGGAGAAAAAGAAATGAAGAAAGAAAAGAGACAGTAAATGGAGAAAATAAAAAATTCTTGGCGATAATGGTTTGGGTCCCCTCATACCTTTCTTGCTGCCAAATTCCATCCTCTAAGAGAGGCTCAGATCCAGCCCAGAGCATGTCAGACGTAAGCCTTACCATCTGCCAAAATCTTTTATGTCCTCCTTAATATTACATACTTGCTTTCAGTCTTCAGAGTTAAAATTGTTAAGAGTGAAGATGTTCTCGGTAGGAATCTTTTATGGGTATATATTATTTTGGTCAATTTCTCCTTGTGTATTTGTGTAAACATAAAAACTTATAATATTGCATGCTTAAACTACCAGATTCGAACTGGTGTTTTAAATATCCTTCATAGTATCTATGCAAATCTTCAATCTAACAGCCAGACCAAAAAACTCAGAATGTCATTATGAACTTGTTTCTGATGACTTTAAGCAAAGAAATAACATTTGCACAACCAAACTGCCTATTCATTCGCTCAATAAATACTTGCTGAGCATCTACTGTATATGCTAAACACTCAGCTGAGCTAGGGATACAGTGGTGAATAAGAAAGGCATGGTCTGTGGCAAAGGGCAGAAATCAAATCTGTATGGAGTAATACTTAATTTACCTGAGAAACAGCGTTCTGTGTAAGTGAAATTTGCAGATAGCTTGAGATTATCTCTCTTAGCATAAATACTTAAATATTTAATTCTAATAATTTCTGATGAAAAAAATTAAACTATGATGCATATTTCCCTTTACTGCAAATGATACAGCTTAATATACTTTAGCATTTTCTTAATAAGCATCATTATTTACTATGCTAAAATATAACTTAAAATATTACTGAAATATGGAGGGGTCTTTGCATATATTCCTAATGGTGTCAAACTGCTATGTTTTTAGAGCCTCTCTGACTTTAAATCCTAAAATTATGAGATATATCATAGATGAAAATATCTACAACAGACATAGCTTTTCAAACATGAGACATTATTAATACATTTAAAGCCCCATTATGCCTCATTCGCACTGAATCTTACTTTCTCTCAGAGTTAACAATCCAAATTTTTATTTAATGTGTTTACTTTTTACAGTTTTATTTTTTCCTTCAAATTACATTTTATATTTTTAGTATGTCTACTTTTAAATGGCCAACAGACAGAAAAAGATACTCAACATCACTAATCATCAGGGAAATGCAATTCAACGAGGTATCACCTCATACCAGTCAGAATGGCTATTATCAAAAAGTCGAGGTGGAACCAAAATGGCGTAGATGATAGAGGCTCTGTTCATCTCTCTGGCGACCAAATCAAAGTTGTGACAGAAACAAGGAGCAGCACCAAGGAAAAACCACCTAGGATCTAAATAAACAAGCCACACAACTAGGGAGAAATCCAAGAAAGCACCCTGCAACGGCAGAAAGTAGGACAGGGCGAGGATGTGGGGTGGCCCAGTCTCCAGTGGCTGAGTGAGATGGAGGCTGCGGCAGCGGCAGACACCTCTTAAAGGCGTCGTGTTCAAGAGCGGATTTTCGTGGTGACGGACCTGCTTGCTCTGAACACCAGTGCGGATTCGGCTGCACGCAGGGGGCATCAAGGATTTACAAGGAGACACTGTTGGAGTGATGGCCCAGAAAGATTCACTCTGTAGAGAAGTGCTGGTGGTATCCATTGTTCCCTGTTGAGTTCTTCCCTTTACCAGTGCACAGGACACAGGGCCCTCGGTCATCAAACTGGATCAAGGTCGCTCTGCCCAGAGGATTCTCTGAAACCCCGCCTCCCCCCCAACTTATGGGTCCGCCCAAGCCACATCCAGGTTTATCCTCAGCGAGTCAGGTGCTCCTTGCTGAGCAGAGCCTAGACTCACACATTGGCCTTGGTTTCTGGTGTGGCCTTTTGAGGTAAATGTAAGCACAGCATCTGTGGATTGCTTGCTGAATCTTAACAGGTGGCCCGGAGGGATGGAGGCTGAGGCTAAGTTTGGCCTGCAGCTGAACCCCTCTCAAGACTGTGCCACTAGACAGCTACTTCACAAATCCACACTAACAAGACCAGGAGATTTAGGAGCTTTGCTTAGTACATAGAAACAGACACGGAAAGGCATCCAAAATGGGAAGGCAAAGAAGCAGAAACCATATGAGAGAACAGAACAGAGACCCAGATATAATGGAGTCAAGTAATCTAACAGATGCAGAGTTCAAAACACTGGTTATAAAGTTACTCAATGAACTTTTGGTTAAATTTGACGAAGAGATAAAAAAACATAAAAATGGAAATGGAAATTATAAAAGGGAACCAGTCTGAAATGAAGAACACATTATTTGAGATGAGAAGTATATCAAAGAGAATAAACAAAGAAATAAACGAAATGAATAAAGAAAAGGATCAAATGCCCTATCTAGAGGATGGGAAAGCTAAGGACATTCAATCAGAATGGCAAGAGATAAGATGCCAAGACTATAAAAATAATTTAAGGAGCATATGAGACACTATTAAGGGTCCAAATATCCATCTGATTGGTGTAACTGAAGAAAATCAAGATGTTGAACAACTGTCTGAAGAAATAATGATGGAAAACTTCCCTAACCTGGTAAAGGAAATGGACATAAAATCCCTGGAAGCTCAGAGAATTCCAAAAATCAGGGATCCAAAGAGGCCCACATCATAATTAAAATGCCAAAGGCTAAATATAAAGAAAGAATATTAAAAGCAACAAGAGAAAAACAGATACTTACAAGGGAGCACTCATAAGACTGATAGCTTATTTCTCAAAAGAACCTATGCAGGACAGAAGGGCTTGGCAAAAAATATTCGACCTGTTGAAGACCCAGGATATACAACCAAGAATAATTTATCCAGCAAAGCTATCATTTAGAGTTGAAGGACAAATAGAGATTCCCAGACAAAAATAAGCTGAAGGAATTTATCACCACCAAGTCAGTTTTACAGGAAATATTGGAGGGACTTCTTTAAAAAGAAAAAACATGTATCAAAAACAAGAATAAAGAATGGTAACAACTACATTCCTATCAATAACTACCCCAAATGGAAAAGAATTAAGTGCTCCAACTAAAAGAGTGGAAAGGAAAACAAGAATCCTGCATATTGCCTATAAGAGACTCACTTCAGATTAAAAGACACACACAGACTAAAAGGAAGGGGATGGAAAAGATAGTGCTTTGATGGACCTAGGAGTTATTTAAGTCAGAAAGATAAACACTATATGATTTCACTTATATGGGGAATCTAAGAATAAAAAGAACAAACTAATTAAAAAAAAAAGTCAACAAAGAACACGTGGAGAAAAGGGTACCCTTGTGCACTGCTGGTAGGAATGCAAACTGATATTGCTACTATGGAAAACAGTATAGAGATTCTTCAAAAACACTAAAAATAGACATACCATAGAACCCAGCAATTCCATTTTGGGGTATTTATCTGAAGAAAACGAAAACACTAACTTGAAAAAATACATGCATCCATATGTTCATTGTAGCATTACTTACAATAGCCAAGATATGGAAGCAACCTGTGTGTCCATCAATAAATGAGTGGATAAAGATATGATATACACATACACAAACACAATGAAATATTACACAGTAATAAAAAAGAATGAAATCTTGCCATTCGTGACAACATGGATGGAGGGGGTAGGAACTCTGCATCTAATACCTACAACAATAAGGGTGAAAAGGGTGAAGGGGAATATAGTCAATAATATTGTGCTAAATTTGCACAGTGACAGATTATTACTAGAATAATCACACTGTAATTACAATGTGATCACACTGTAAGGTCTAAAAATGTTGAATCCCTACATTATATAGCTGAAACTAATACAACTAATATAATACTATATACTAACTATACATAAATAAAAAGTTTAAGCAAATCTAAAAAGAAGTATGTTTGCTTTTAGATACTCTACCATAATAGAAATTTGTTAGTTTCAGATTAGGATACTGAGAAGCAAGCTCATTAGGACGGCACTTTTACATAAAATGTGACAGGTTCTAAGGGAAGGCCTTAACGGTTCTCTTTGAGTAAAGTCTATGAGCAGTACTGCACCTTCATTGAGACATCTATTTTGTTTGTTTAAAGGTCTTTTGAATTTAATTCCTGCTACTTAAGATTGTTCCAAATGGCTGAGAATGCCAAGTAGATGACCTTATAAGTCAGGTGTTATGTCACGGAGGGATTTATAGACTAAAACATCCTGAGGTGACATTAATGGTCATCGAATCCAACTTCTTCATTCCCTATGGAAAAAATGAAGCCTAAAAAGTTTGAGTGACTTGCCCGAAGTCACAGAGCTAGTTAACAGCAGAGCCAAGATTGGTATCTAAGTCACTCGGACCAGTGGTTTTCAATTGAGGCCATCCAGGGGATATTTGGCAATGTCTGGAGACATTTTTGTTTGTCATACTGAGAGAGTGCTACAGATGCCAGAATGTTGCTAAATGTCTTCCAATGTATAGGACAGCTCCTTACAACAAAGAATTATCTGGTCCAAAATATCGACAGTGCTGAGGTTCAGAAACCCTGGCTTAGAACTCCACTGTCACATCTATGTCATCAACTTTTACTTAATATAAGCATTCTGGAAAAAAAAATGTGTCAAAATAGGTTACTTCCCTTTAGTCAAACATTTACGGCAGATTTAAGGGTCCACTGTATTTGATTCCCTGTGAGATGGAATATGATTGATAAAAGAATAGAATATACTCACCAGGAGCCAAAACCCAAGGGTCTTCTATCATAATCTGGCAGATCTGGAGCAATCTTACAAGCCTGTATATTCAGGTATTTAAATATGTGGACTTTGCCTTTTATACATATCTAAATAAAGTAACACATAAATGCAACCAAAATTATTACTCATCTGAAAGATATGTGTCTCTTTTCTTTTATCACAATCAGCTTTTTACTTAATGTATATTAGAAGTAGAAGGTATTTCTATCAAGTACCTATAGTAGTATTAAAAATCTAATACCTATAACAATTATTTTAGGTATTTAAGTGATATAAATATAGGTTTTGTTTTCTAGTCACTAATAAAGTTTCAGTAACATATAAAATAATTTATGATTACAAACAGAATACCAAGTAAACTTATCATTGATTAGCTAGGTATAATCAGGGCTTTAAAGCATTGCTCTCTCATGTATTATATTAGCAACTTTTGCTATCAGGAATCCAATGATCATGTACAATCATGTTTTCAATCCATGAGAGAGAAAAGCAGGAGATAATTAAACAGTAAAGCTGCATATATGTATGTTGCTACCTGATGACGAAGTCAAAACATAAAGCTTTCTATAGTTATAAAGCTTACTCATGAAGTTTTATGGTTAACATACAGAGGCTTGTACAACACCATCATTAGATTTAGAGTTAAAAAAGCTACAGTGAAAAATATAGGCTAGTAAATTTTTAGATTGTAGGATGTCTGGAATCTATAATACTACCTTATAATTACTTTATTATTAAATAGCTTATTTCAGTCATTGATAAATGATCAAACTAACTGAATGAGGAACTTAAGGTTTTAGAAAACAGGAAGGCATAAAAACTGGTCAAAATAAATGCACTGATAATTTTTAGTTCTGAAAGCTAAGTATTTAATTTGTCTCTAGTATTTACATTGTTTATATTCAAGTTTTACTAGAAAGAAATTAACTCAAATTTTATTAGAAACACTTTAAGGAAGAATCCCATAACTTTAAAAAAAGTCAGTTTAATGAAAAGAAAAACAGTTCTGGAAACAGTACTTAACTTCTACCCCATTTATTGAAGTCTTCTAAAGAATACTTTAGAAGATTTTTTTTAAAAAAAGAACTTAATTTGCAACAAAAACATAAACACATAGAATTTAAGTTTAAAATTTCATCCTTTGTCCAAAAAGTTTATGAAATACTTCAAATCAACTATGGTTTACCTGTGCAGGAGGAGACTGTAACGGGTTGTTGTCTAGGGTGATCACCTGTAGGTGCCTGAGGTTCCGATAACAAACAGGGATTGTTGTAATTTTATTGCAGGAGAAGTCTAACCGTATCAAAGGCAACTCTGCCAGCTCTGCAGGGAGATAAGATGTATTTCAAAACTAGACAACTTTTACAGTAGCTTCTACTTAAACACAGTGGATTTACCATGAATATTTACCTCCATTCCTTCTTAGTGGTTAACTGATATAACAAAGTGGTGTATAATGAAATCTACTTACTTATAGTAGGGAATATATATAAATTCAAGCTGTTTGACCCCTCACAGAACTTCAGAAAGATGAATGCCTGATACCACAGGATAATGGGGATAACAAAGAGATGAGATAATAGCCTATATAAATAACAACTTAGAGATGCCTATAGATTCCCAACCCCAACTCAAGCAGCTAGGGCGCTACCCCTCTCCAATCACCACAGGAGCCAACAAGTTATTCTCTACTGCAACTGAATTGAAAGGCTCTGAATTCAGGGACCCCAGGCACAATGGAAAGTCAGGATGAGGTGCCAGCTGAAAATAGAGGTCTATGGCCATGCCACCCTGAACAAGCCCGATTCCGCCTGATCTTGGAAGCTAAGCAGGGTCAGGGCTGGTTAGTACTTGGATGGGAGACTACCTAGGAAGACCAGGTGCTGTAGGCGTAAAAAATAAAAAATAAAGGATTGTATGCTGACAAGGTCCTTGCAATCAATCTGTGAGGTCAACCAAGGGTTGCCTCGCCTAAAAAAAAAAAAAAAAGAAAGAAAAAGAAAATGGCGGATTTAAGTGAAAGTCTACACACTTAATGGCAAGACCTCAACACTTTCCTACCCAATCCCACCCCATCCCCAGAGTTCTTGAATGTGGGTAGTTAGGAATATACATAAACAATGTAGAAGAAATAAAATATCATTCTCTGGAGAAACTATATAGTCCCATATAAAAGGACTTTAGATATTTATATAAAGTTCCTCCCCCAAAATATCTAGCTTGCTGCTTAATTATCATTGTACAATCCCTGCCCAGTATGCCTGGAACTTCTAATCAGCTCTATACTGACAGTTTATGATCCACAGACATTTAGAAAAGCCTCCAACATGTTAGATGGAAATCAAAACACACGAACCAATCGAAAAGAACTCAGAACAGGTAATACATAGGGAACAGAAGAAAACTCTGAAAAACTAGAACTATTACCTCTAATTTCAGAGAGATAAGATACTGAATTACTGAAACAAGAAAGGGGTTTTAAAAAAAATCAGAATAATAAGTTCTCAGAAATGAAAATTATGATAGCAGATATTAAAAATTCAAAAGAATGGTTGGAACACAAATGGTTGGAAATGTTTACCACCTGGTAAAACAAAATGACAAAGAACTAAATTATAAAAAAGATAAGAAATATCATAGGATCAATTAAAGAGGTTCAATATCAATTAAAAAAAAAAAAAACCTAGAAAGAGAGAACAGAGAGAACAGAAGACAGAAAATTATCAAAAAAGAGATAGAAATATTTTCCAGAATGAAAGATGTGACTCTCTGGTTTGGAAAGAGGCCCACCAAGTGCCTAGTACAGTAAATTAAAACAATTCATATTGTGTATGACACATCATCATAAAATGTCACCGCAGTAGGAAAAAAAGAGAAGATCTTAAAATCTTACAGAGAGAAAAAAAATGCATCACAAACAATGGACTGGAAGTAGAAGCAGCATCAAAATTTCAACCATTAATTTTTAACACTGAAAATCAAAAGTGAACAAAAGACCTGAAAATCCTGAGAGAAAATAATTTTCCACCTAGAATCTGTAACTAAATTATCAATCAAGGGTGAGCATAGAATAAAGATGTTTCTTTTCAAGTAAAGTCTCAAAAAAAATGTTTTCTCATGACATGTTCTTTGGAAACTACTAGAAGATACCACCCAGCAAAACAAGAGAGTAAAGTAAGAAAGAGGAATTACTCGTCATTTATACTTTAATAGAACTGAAATTTTTAAAACAGTAAAAAAGAGGAAGATATGAAATCTAGAGGTAAGAGTATTCAACAAAGAAGAAAGCTGAGCAGCAACAACAGAACAACCAGTACAGACTGGAAGAAAAGGAAAAAAGCATAAAGGAGGGAAATATGCAGGGAATAAAAAATGATACTCTGATTGGTTTGACTAATAAGGCTGTTAGAAAAAGAGGGAGAGATTAGCCATAGGTACATAAAAAACTGAGCAAATTAAAAAAAAAACACAAGGAATTACTGACTGGAAAAACAACAAAAACAACGTATACAAGAAAGAAAATGAAATCAGAGTATATCACTTGGAATGGCAGGAACAATATTTATATAGTTATAATAATACAAACAATAAATAATTATTTAATCAAAAGTTGTGGTAAAACTACACTGGGAAGATGTGAAGAGCGAAATAAAGGTGTGATAGTGTAAGGAAGTTAAATCCTCTTCTACCATAATAGGAAGCTGACATGTGCCAAAGCTGACAAATCTAGCAATAACTATAAAAAGACCATCAATAGAAATATGTCAGCAAATAAAAGTAGAAGTAGTCAAAGGAACTGAAGGTAGATGTTACTGGCCACCGAAACTGGGGTGGCAGGAGGTTGAGGCAGGGAAATGCTATTATTTATTTTAAGCTATTTAATACTATTTGATTTTTTGAATATTTGACAATAAGAGTGAAAATTAATTTAAAATAAAAAGGGCAATATAACAAAGGATGTAATATCTTACTTACCAAATTATAATATGTTAGAGACCACCAATTAATTAACATGAACTTGCACACTAACTTGTGTAGCTGCTGGAATAAGGTTTTCCTGAGATCTCAGTTTAATTGACTATGCTGAGATTACAAGACAAACTGATTTTTAAAAACCCATTTAAAACTATTTGGTAGTTTCATAATTTTCTTAGTAATACACATTCAAAATAAGATATAGGTATATTCATATATGAGATGACAAAACTATCAGATTGCAGTTGTCATCTGAAACCCCAAATGTTCATTTTCACTAAAACCCCAATATTTTCATTGATTGATTTCACATGGAGTCAGTAATATTACATTAGCAAGCCTTTAAAGATTAGCTATAGTAGGTGAGTCCTGCGTAGAGGGGTAAGGTAATCCTAAATAAAAAGTTTGGGTTATAAGGTCCTATGTCATGATTTTGGTCAGTTCTGCTGAGGCCTTCATTCATATTCCTGATGTGCTGTAAGGCAGAATAAGGAAAAAATGAGGCAGGCTCTGAAGACAAAAAGTATGAAGGTTACTGGGTAAGCCAAGTGAGAGGAAAGATATGCAGGATTTTGGGTAGCGTGGTTGCAGTAAATGTATAAGAGTGGACTGGAAAGTCACTTTCTGACTTGGGATCCAAAATGTCAAAGCTACATTAGTATGTTAGAACTATGTTAGAACAAATTAGTGTAAACATTTGGATTCTATAATGAAGCAAAGACATCATTAGTTAATTCAATATTTATTGTACACTAGAAGTCATGTTTTGTTGAAGAACCTATAGAATTATCGTCATGAAAACACCTTTTGAAGATTATCTTTTTGCTACATAATCTGAAACACTTACAGATGAATGTCTCTAGATTCTAGAGGACAGACTAAAGGAAAGTGGATGACAGCATAGATAAAACAAGAGTTGCCATGATCTGATGACCATTGTAGATGGGTGATTCATTGCTCTCATTTATATATGGGAAATTTTCCATTATAAAATTAAATATAAATTCTGATCTAATAAAATAATAGTTCTCCCCATTTTTACTTTCTTTGATAGCTTTTTCCATAAATTTGTATTATGAAAATTGATAAATTATACTTAATTTGTTTAATCAATTTTATCATTCAAATAAATATACGAACTTAGAGTCAGCCTAAGATAGCCAGTTTCCTAGTGCAGTCCCTCACTCCATTCATTATTCACTCTATCCATCACCTCTACATGGATAATTAGCCTCTATTGAGTATTTGCAGTGAAGGATAAAATTATTAAGTTCAAGTTAAATCCATTTTTAAGTCAGCTAATTTCAGGAATGTTTTTCATTATACTAAACTATCCTCTTATCAAAAATATGTTATATGTCACTCAAGTAGTTATGCTTACTGAAACTTCCAGTGACCCCTGAGTTAGCAATTACACAGGTTAACAAGATCTAAAAGTACAATCACTGGTAAATAGTTATCAAACTTTTCACCTAAAAGTCTAACTTTTAAAATTCTCAATGGTACAGATAACATATGTCGAATAAACCAGTACATCTCGAAATATTAGCTATAATTCTTATACATTTTTGTCTTATGCACATCAGTCTGAGAGACGTTTAATATAAAAAAAATAATGATAAAATAATTATTTCATAGTTCTTACCTTCAGGCAATCGTACTAAGTGATTTCTTCTTACATTCAGGTCTCTCAAGGCCTCCAAATTACCGATTTGGGAAGGTATTGTTTGAATTTCATTGCAGCTAACATCCTATTTCAAAAAAGATACAAAGTAAAGAATTATTCTAATATTATAAACTTGTCTGCTTTAAACTATCTGTAAAATGAGGTTGGACAAGATAATGCCTGTGGTCCCTCCTCGTTGTGAAAAAAAATTGATTCCATCAAAGAATAATTACAATAATTTGTACTAACAATTTAAAAAAGTTACAGGTTTTCGACTGATTATATTTTATACACGACTAATTTTGTGAGCAGAACTAAAATTAAATGACTTAAGATGTGGGTATGAGGCCTAGAATATGAGATCAAATAAATAAGTTGGTGAAAAGGTAAAATAAAACAATATTTTTAATTTATATTGTTCTAATGAAGCTAGAAAAAATGATAAAAATTATAATAAAATTATTTAAAAGAAAACTCTATTTTCAAAATATCAGTTCAACTGTTTAAGAATATAAAATAAAAGTGAATTGAAGATGACTCAAATCATTCTTTATCAAACTAAAAGTGAGGAGAAAATAATAAAGTACACATAACTCAAAAGGCTATGGAAAAAATAGATACTACTTTATTAGCATGTGATCAACCTGATTCCAGTACATATATTAGGTAGGCCTTCTGGTATCTTGGAAAATAGCTTGATTCTGGTTCCACTGGTTCTAAAAAGAAACTGACTATAGGTTCCAAGATTAATATATCCAGGATGCCATAATTCTTACACCAACCAGAATAATTTGTAAACCTATGTGTAGCAGCAGGAAGCTGCTTAGGTTAATAAAAGTGCCAAGATGCCAGATCGACCCTTCAAATTCCTCCAATAAATGAATAAAAATATTAACAGACATTGTTAGAAAAGACTACTTACCAAAAACTTCAATAAGCTTCAGACATTATTTTTAAATTTTCCCAAAATGTTTTTAGAAAAAATAATATTATTTTTACTTTCCTACCACATACTATCTTAAGTAGAATCTGAAGCTAGACTTCTTAGTCCAATGTTCTAGACATTAAAGTTAAAAGGGTTCTAAAAGGAATTGAAAAGATAGGAAAATGGAGCCTGAGCCAGAAAGTAATAGCAATTTATAATACTTCTCTCAGAAAATGTGTATGTTGAAAGATATAGTTTACTTTCATTAAAAAAAAATGAATAAGGATGTTGTAGAAAGACCATCAAGTAGGAATCAGGAGCTTTAGGATTGCTAATTCTTACTCTGCCACAAGCTGTTTATATGACTGAGGATATCAATTAACTTCTTTTGTAGAAAGCTAAAAGCACTCTTTGCAAGAGATATCTACCTTTTAAGTACCTAGCATTCAGTAAATAGAAACAGAAAGTTTAAATGATTTGAAAACCAGAATTTGAATCATGAGTATAATTTACTACTAGTTCATGTTATTAACACAAGTTCTGAAGAAATGCCACAGAACATACATTTTGGACTTTACTTCCTAGATCTAATTAATTGTAAATAAACGGTGGTCTAGTATCTAGACTCCAGATTTCATGAATTTGTGAATTATTACATGTGACTTTTCATATTCATAATCCACCTGGAAAAAAACATGAGCTAATATGAGGTTATAAGTATATAGTATTTTTTTATGATGTCCATCTTTGTTAATAAACCTACCTGGAACTATGGAACTATACTCCCAAATCTCAATAGACATAATTGTATTTGATCTTTTCAGAAATATGAAACATGAGCTTTGGAGCTAAAGTAGACTGGTTTCAAATTCTACTTCAGTTATGGAACCTTGGGTAAATTACTTAACCTGAGTGCTAGTTTGCTCAGCTGTAATATGATAATTATAGTACCTAATTGCTACTGTTATTGTGAAGATTTAATGAGAAAAGTCTATTGCCATGTCCAAACCATAAGTACTCAGGAGCAACAAGGAGTAGTAGGTGAAGATTAAGCTTCTTAGAAATATAAAGCAGTAAAGACGAGCTTTCTTTAGAGTGGGAGATAGGTTCTAAGCATGTAAGGCAAAAAAATAAGCCTGACCTTTGTAGTTAGTGTCCATTTCCTTATAGAGACTAACCAAAAATCAGAATATTGATGCTATTAACAAGATTTAATTCTAAAAGTTCAAATGCATTATTAATTACACCTACAAGCACCTGGTATTCCTAGGTGGTCTCCCATCCAAGTATTAACCAGGCCCGACCCTGCTCAGCTTCTGAGATCAGACGAGATCGGGCACGTTCAGGGTGGCATGGCCGTAGACAGTTCCTTAATATCTCTGCTGACATACTTGAGTACTGATCAATCAGTGAAACTCCATTAACAATACTTAAAAATAACTAAAAAACACACCTTAGTAATGGATCTTTACCATATAAAAGAGTATGACTATGTATGTACATATATGCATGTGTGTGTATGTGTGTATATATAGTAATCAAAAAAAAAAAAATTAACTTACAAGTTCTGTTAAATGTCTGAGATGTCCAATTTCTTCTGGAAGTGAGACTAATTTGTTATTACCGGCAATTAAGACTTTCAATGGTAAATTACACAAATGTACTGGCAATGTTGACAGCTGGTTCCGACTAAAATGGGTAAGTAGAAAAGAGAAGAGTCAGAGCCTATTACTCAAGAAAAATACTTCCATTATTTCCCACTCTGTACTCAGTAAAATAATATATATAAGTTTTGCAAGAAAGAAATAGGATATTAGACTTGAGTTCCAGCTTTCATTTCCTCACTTCTTAGCTTGTAAGCACAGCGTTAACCTATCGGCATCTTAGAGATTCTGCAAATTAAGTTTTCAATTAGCAATAATCGTGTCTCAGATAAACCTCATTGGTTACAATACTGGCACTGCACAAAGCTTGTCGTCTCTACCAATTTTACAGGGCTCTTGCACCATAAAACACCTTTGTAAATAATGAAGTGCTATATAAATATGACATATTATTTTATTAAAGTTAAATTTATATAAGAAAAAATGATTTAAAATAGGGTGGATACTATTATCCTCTTCTTCCTTCCAAGGTATAAACCTAGGTGTTTGTAATCTACTTCCCTCATCATTCCAGTATTATAATCAAATGTACATAAGATCCAAATATAGTTCTATGGAAAACAAGTGACATATTTGTGATTTCAAATATATCATACCACTCAAGTATAGGTAAGAAATCTTATTTATACAAAAACAAGCAAATCAGAATTAAAAGTAAAATAAAACACATCTATCATTAGGATAAAAATGAGTTAAAATTTTACTTATGTAGATTTAACTTTTTAATCCTTAGCACCAATTGCCCCTCATTTTCAAGATCTTTAAAGCTTTTAATGTGATAATAATTCTACTCCTAGATATTTACCTTAAGGAAAGAGAAAAATAAACATTTACATATAAAATTCTAGTATTACTTTTATCATGGCAAAAAACTGAAAGAAAGTTACTGATAGGGAAAATGAGTTTTAGAAGTATATAAACTGTATGATAGTGATTATATATAAAAATATTTCCAGAAGATATTTCATGACAAGAGGAAAACATTTAAAAATATGACTAAAAGCCTGGAAACATGGAAAAGATCACCTATAATACTACTTATTATTATTTACAGATAATATTTAAATTGTTTATTGTTAATAATGAAAAATACTTACTGGTTACCCTCTTAAAAAGTTGAACCAGTTTATACTCCCACTAATGGGATCACCTACAATTATAACTCAGAAACATTTTTATGAATTTCCTTTACACTTTTCTACATTTGCTCATTTTCTCCAATGAACATTTATAACTTTTACAATGTAATAAAATAACAAAAGAATTCTTGTAAGATGTGAAAAAATGGAGGAGTTGAATAAATGCATTTATTACATTCAGAACTTAATACACAAAAATCATAATCACAAGAACCAAAGTAATTACAGAGATACTAGTTTCATATGATGCGGCTTATTTGAAAATGTAATTGGAGAACCATTGCTACAAGACTGCTGCAGCAAGCCAATCCGGCTAATGATAATTATTGTAAAGACAAAGGGAGAAACTAGGGAAATATAGGCGATACTGTTAATTTAGCCTAAGAACTTGCATGGATACTGCTGATATGAACGGATAGTGTAAATTTTAGTGAAAGGGAAGAGAAAATTGAAAAGACCACATAAAACCAAATATTAAAACACAAATCCTTACCTAATATTTAAGAATGTAAGAGCTTGTAGGTTTAGAATTGCCTCTGGTATATATCGAATACAATTTTGGTATAAGTTGAAATTCTCAAGAGAAACGAAGTGACATACTTCTATGGGAATTTCTGAGAGGCGATTTCGTGACAGATCTGTAAGAAAAAGTAAGTTAAGTTTAAAACCAACTTTTGGAATTTAGTTTACTGAAATGTTAAATAGGCAAGTTTCGGGAATGTTTGAATTCGCGAGTTCTACTGTGGAGACTGATCCAGAGTAAACAATCAAATATTAATTGAATAAACCATTTTAACATATGCCTCTACACTTACTGCTGAGAAATGTTGATTCTTTTTGAGTCGTCACATATACTAAAAAATAAAACCCATTATTCTCTTCAAGTAACACAAATTCGAAGGCATATTCGCCTACGAATCATACAGAAAATCATACGAAATACCAAAATATCCGAGGAAATGAATGTATCTCTAAAATCCACTTTCCTAAAAGCACAGACAACATTCAGATTTTTAGAAAAACAAAGCAAAGCAAAACAAAACAAAAAATACTGTTCCTTTCTACATCAGTCAAAATAATCAGGATCATGTCAAAAAGACTCAAGAACCAACTTTGTTTCCCCTGATCAAAAATGAGACAATTTGAGCTTCAATAAAGATCATAATTACAATGGATTGAATCTATTACATACATGGAATTATACGAGCTTATAATGACACATCCTCCTCTGTCCCAAAAAAGATGGAGAACTAATTCATTATCTTGTAAACTGATAGAGAAAGGAATAAAAATCAAACATTTACCTTGCCTTCCCTATATGAACTGTATCACTGAATAACCAAGTAGATGAAGGGAAGTATCTCTATATGTATTCTAGCTACAAATGAAAAATGAGAGAAAATCACCATTTTGCACCCCTCAAGGAATTACTGGATCTAGAAATGAGTATTAATGGCTGCTATCTATACAAAAAGACAATCAAATTATATGCCTCCCACTAGAAGAACAGAACATCACATTATAGTCTTGTCAAAGGGACAGAACATGAATCTAATTAAGCTTCTGCATCAGCTGCAAACTTTCAGGAAATGCAGAGGACAGAGGAATGTTGTAATGACTCTATCATTATCCATTTAGATTTAATTAAATATACTGTGAGATTTATTTGCTCACCACTGTTTTCTCTCTTCTGCCCTATCTTAAGGTCTCTGTTAGGAATTCTTTGGTGAGAATCCTTTACTGAGAACTTTCCCTAGACAGAGGACCTGAATTCTTGCATATCTGCAAATACATTGCTTACACCATAATAAGTGAGTGATATTTTGGCTAGAAATAGGTACAGTTCTTTTGTTAGTAATCTGTAGATGTTATTTTACTACCTTCTAGTTTCCAGTATTGCACTGAATAGTCCAGCACTTATCTGATCATTTTTCCTGTGTAGCAGCAGCTTGTTCTTTAGTCTCAGCACCACCAATAACACACTGGTCTGGAACTCAGTGGGCTCTTTCAATCCTTCTTTAAACCAGAAAAATTCTCCTCTATTATATCTTTGGTTGTTGCATGTTCTCAATTTGTTCTTTCTCCTTCTTCACATTTTTTGTTTTGATATACTCTTCTAATGTTCTAGATCATGAATTTGAGTCTCAACAATAATCATCTTCTCCCAAATTAATACATAAAAAAGATTTTTTTCTCCTCACTTTTTAATTCTTTTATACTATGATGTCACTTTGTTTCTCCTAAGAATCTCGGAATAATCTGTTTTGTTTTGCTTGTTAAACTTGTTATGTATTTCTTCCAACAATTCTATTTCATTGAAGTAACTTGTTCCAGATATAAACCTTGTTGATCCTCTCTCTGGGACTGCTGGAGTTCTTTTAAGTGAATTACTTTCCATTGTCAATTCATACCTTGCCTCATCCTTGGAGTTCAGGTCAAGCTGCAAGAGTTAAGACCAAAATAATGGAAGCAATCTCTACAATGCACTGGTACTAAGCTTCCCCTCCAAGACACGGCTCTTTATGAGAATTCAAAGCTTTTGATAATGGCCCCCATAGACTTTTGCCTCTTGTCTTCATCTGGATCCCGGTATATCCCCAGACTCACATATTTCCTACTGATACTACTAGCCTGTGTACCTCAGAGCTGCTTCGCTCTGAAGTGATTGATAGTAACTGAGGCTGGGAAACAGTCCATCATCTTACCAAAACACCATGATTAAGAAAAAAATTAAAGCTCAAGTAACAGAGACCATCAAGTACTTAGACTAAATATTTCCTATAAAATCACACTGTAAATAACTTCTTTAAAGTGCAACAAGAATTATTTTATCAAGTCTTATTAAAATTTTATTAGTATAATTTTAAAAATTTGAAAACATGAAAGGAATTCAATTGCAAATTGTTCCTTACATGTTTAAATTTAACCAAAAAAGGACAACAAACTTAAATTTAAGCAGGGATTATTTAATATCAATTTTCCTAATATTTGTATTATAAAGCTAAATTACTTAAAATCCAGAAAAATGAAATCAATGACATCTATCTTATTTTGGTCCCCATAATAAGGAGAGAAAAAAAAATGATAGTACAATATACAGTCAGTTTAAATACATCTCAACAAATTAATTCTTAATTTTTAAAGAATTAGCTAATTTACAACATAATCTACTTTTAAAGCCAAAGTTTCTGACTACGGGTTCCTACAAGTTCTCCCATTTAAATTGTATTTTGATTTCAATTTGGGAAGACAAGTAGCTTCTTCTTTGTGTTAAATGAGTGATTTTTTTACATCCTATAAATTCAGGAAGGCTGAATTAGTCAGTTGGGTCATAGATGAAATATGGAAAGTACTGCAAAGTACTACTGGTTTATGGAGAAAATAATTTTACAGATAAAGAATGTGATGAAAGGGAAAAAAACTTAAAAAATATTCAGTTAAAAAATTATGGATATGTTTGCATTCTTGAAACTCTGGTTATAAAAGCAATATATATTAACTTCATGTATGCAGAAGATTGCATAAAACATACACATTCAAAGAAATAAAATATTGCCAGTACCCTAAATGCCTCAATATAGCTCTTCTTAATCATAAGCCCTCTCTTCCCCAAAAGAGGAACCAATATATTGATTTTAGTGATAATCATTTCCTTGATAGTTTTAACACTATATAAGTTGTAGTTTTGCCTCCTGCATTCATTTCCTATTGTTGCTGTAACAAATTACCACAAACTCAGTGGCTTAAAATATTACAAATTTCAGTTCTTGTTCAAAATGGTGATACAGGAAGATCCTGAACTTATCTCCTCCCAGGGACACACTGAATTTACATATGGAACTACGTATGAAGCTACGTATGGAACAATTGCCTCTTAAAAACTCTAGAGATTGGCTGAGTGATGACTACACATAAAGCAAATGAGAAGAAAACCACATTAAAGGGGGTAGGATAGGCTGGGACACAATGTCACCATAACCCCACCCTGGAACAGAGACCCACAATTGGGAGAAAATTCAAAACCTGGAGCTTCTCCCTGAGGAGTGAAGTGTTCAAACCCTAGATTAGGCTCCTCAACTTTTAGAACTTACATTTGAGAGATGAGTCCCCCAAACGCCTAACTTTGAAAACCAAGGGGCTCACAGCCAGAGATCCACAAAATTATAGTCATCTGGGAGATAGGTTTTAAAATGCCCAACTCAGAGGCAGCTGATCATGCCTTTATTAAAGTATTGGCCTGAGGGGGCAGGCATCTAACTTAACATAAACATTTAAGACTCTGCTGGAATACTGTCTCTAGGAACAGAGAATGGCATAAACCACCTTTGTGCCCACCAGTTGCCATGTTCCAGAGAGCCAGTACTGCAGGGAAGGGACCTTTTACAAGTATCTGGTGACTCATCTTTGCAGTTGCTGTCCAGGGAAGCTTGCACTCCTAGTCCCATGGGACTGTAATAATCAGTGTCATCCAGAAAGGAGCTCATACCCATGTCTGACACCCTGATTTTTGCAGCTCCTGATAAGTGACACCTCTATATTGCCTGCCTCCCGCAGACAGTGGTGCTTATACTCATGGTAAGCAAGTAAGAGTTCCTAAACAACTCCTACCTGCAGGGCAGAGCAAGTGGCAACAGACCTAAGAAGTTCAGTCCTTCTGTGAAAGAGGACCTAGTAGCTAATTATCACAGCTGCAACCTGAGGGGTAGGCTTCTAATTAAATATATATCTAAAGGGTGACTATAATCCTTTCAAGAGACCCTGGAGGGCAGGCACTGTATTCATGCTCTCCTTCCATACTCCAGAGTGCCAGTTCTTCTGAAGAAGAGCTTTACACAGAACTGATACCCTGGTTTTTATGTCTGCTGCCACTCAGAGGATGCCCCTTAATCACCTGGCTCTGGTGGCCAGAGAAGTTTGCATTCTTGGGTCCCATGGTACTGTGGCAATTGAAGAGACAGTTCTTGACAGGCTGCCATCCCCAGGGCACTTTGCAGATAGGAGACTGAGGCATACTGCCCAGTCTTTTTGTGAAGGAGGCCTCTTCGCTTGTCCTGGAGCTTTAGCCAGAGGGTCATGCTTCACGTCTGGCACACATCTAGTGGATTACAGAGCTGCCCTCAAGGAATGAAGGCATCAAACAGACTAATATTGGAAGAGAAGGGGGAGGGGAGGGAGGAGGAAAAGAAGAAAAGGAAAGGGGCAGAAACCTTGTTCAAAAAAAATAATTGTTGAAAACTTTCCAGCATGAGAAAGGAAACAGACATCCCAGTCCAGGAAGCACAGAGAGTTCCAAATAAGATGGACCCAAAGAGACTCATACCAAAACACATCATAATTAAAATGTTAAAAGTTAAAGACAAAGAATTAAGTGCATAGAGATAAATATCTACATTAAGAAATAAGAAAAGTCTAAATTAAACAACCTAGCTTTACAACTCAAGGAACTAAAAAATAAAGAACAAACAAGCCCCAAAGTTAGCAGAAGAAAGAAGATAAAGATTAGAGCAGAAATAAATGAAACAGAAACTAAAAAGACAATAGAGAAGATCAATGAAACTAAGAGCTGATTCTTTGAAAAGATTAACAAAATTGACAAACATTTAGCTAGACTCACCAAGAAAAAGAGGACTTAAATAAA